AATGCACATTGGTTGAAAAATGCAATAAAGCAATTAGAAATAATAGTAGAAAGTCTCAAAAGTAGAATGAATGAAATGAAAAACAATATCAAGACTGGATGATAAAGTTAAAGATATTGACTTCTTAAGCAAAGAATATATGTAAAATTTTAAAAAAGAGAGAAATGGAATACTCAGAAAATATGGGGCAACATGACCAAATCAATGAATTACAGGCATACAGACATGAGAAGAATATAAGGCCAATGACATTGATCGGATCTTCAACAGTGTTATAGAAGAAAACTTCCCTAAATTAAGGAAAGACTGACCCATAGAGATTCAAGAAGTACACAGAATGCCAATTGGACATGACCAGAACAGAAACTCTCCATGGCATTTCATAGGAAAAACAATAAATGTACAGAACAAAGATAGGGTATTGAAAGCTGCTACAGAAAAACAAGTTATATGTAAAGGAAAACTGATCAGAAATGCAGCTGCCTTTTCAATGCACATATGAAAGCCAAAAGGGCCTAGAACAAAGTGTTCTCAGTTTTAAAAGACCATGGATGCCATCCCCTTTCTCACTGACTGGCAGTCTGGGAAAGGGTTTGGTTAGTAACAGAAAAGAAAAAAAACAATTTTACTTTGAACTTTGATTTATGTTTTGCATGCTATATTCTTGGCTGTCCCTGCTCTTTGGACATAAAAAGCCACTCTTAGTATTAAACTTGCTCTTCTCCACCTGAGAGTTGTGTTCGTTGCCTTCTCTACTCCAACTATCCATCAGCAGACCTGAATCTCTAGGGCTCGATGAATGTGTTGAAAGGATATCAAGTTATGGCAGCGGGACCAAAAGGGAAACGGTATGCAAGGTAAGCAAATTTTTGGTGATAATTGGCAAAGTAAATGGGGAATTCCCAGTCAATGGATGAGCAATACATCCAGTTGTTAACACCCTCTTGAAAGGAGGGGGAGTAAAAGTAAAAGATGAAACTTCTAAAGATTTATTTAAAAAGGTTTAAAAAAACATTATCATTGGTTATATTGGCAGACTGTTTTAAATGATAAAGTATTTACTCAGATTATGAAATCTTAAAAGAGAACCCATCAGCAAGGGTAGATAACTCCCATTCTGGTGTGGTCTGTTTGTACTTTTATTTCTAATGCTTTACTGGGGTCGCTGGCTGTAGCTGCTCTCCCCCAGCTATGGCTGCTCTCCTGCTCTCTTAGTTCCTCCAATCAGTCATCTGGTCTGGACCCCAGGGCTGGTGAGGAGTCTGTACCAGCGTTGCCACGTTCAGACACAGGAGACCAGGTTCAGTGACACAGATCTGCTTTATTGCAGGAAGGCACAAGCTTATATAGGGATAGTGGTCAAATCACAGCACAGTAAGTAGGATACCTTATTAGCATAACAGATTTAGCATCCTATCACAGTACAGCAAGTAGGTTACCTTGATTCCAAGGATGGTGATTAGGGAGTTGCAAGCTCTAGGCATCAGTCTCATGATCTTCCAATGGGAGCAAAATGTCACAAGGCATTCCTTGTGGCTCCAGCAGTCAGGACATTGCCTCAGGCCTGCTGTATGGCTGTAAGTAAGACTTTCACCCTAGGCTCAAGCCTGTCTCCCAC